CTAGTCAAATATCTCAGAGCAAGGCTGAATACTTTATTAACATCTATTTTAAACAAAAAAAAGATGTTGTCTGTCTTTATGTAATTCTAAAAATGAATAAAAAAGGGTTTTGTTTAATGGGGAAGGGAGAGGCAAAGACTGGTTAGTCAGTCAAATGCTATTTTGGGAAATACTATTCCTCCAATATAAAATATATCTGCTTGAGAAAATAAGCTGTTAACTTCTTTGTGGAAGTACCCAAGGTGCAGTGTTATGGATGAGTCTCCATCTGCCCAAGTTTGTTTGCCCCATTGTCAAAGTTGGATACAAAACCCCCTTAGATCTGCGTTAGGTGGATAGACTCATGCCCTTCCTGCCTTTTTCCAGCCCATGAGGAAAAGGAAAAACATATATAACAGGTCAGCAGGCATGCCACAAAGCTGCTGAAACAAAAGATGATGAATGCTCTGAATGAGATCACTGCATCATGACCCTAGGCTGAATGAGATTCTTGTGAAGGGAGAGGCAGTAGTGTGAGAGCTGATCTCAGTGTATATATATAGATGATTGCATGAAAAGAAAGATAGAAAGAAAAGGACCCTTCTAAGGACCAGATTCTTCCATCCTTCCTCACAGTGGCCACATCTACATGTGCACTTAACTGAGGAGTAGACTAATTGGTGGTGGAGAAAAGTGCCACCACTTACACATGACACTGTTAGGCCACAGAAAATTAATTAACATCACCGTAAGATGGTACTGTCAGGGACAGTATTATCTTACTGTGGGGTAATTAACTGTGATAAAACACGTGTAGATGCTGACCAGGCATGTAAATTGCTTCCGGTCAGCCTAGCCAGCAGGGAGCCAGATTTCTTCCTGCTACCTAGCCACATGGCTCTGCACTTTCAGCACCCTTGTGCCCCAGCCAGCCCCCTCTGCCATCCAGTGCTGCCACCTGGAGCCCAGGGCTGACCCTTCCCACCATGGCCCACTGGGTGCATCTACATGAGACACTTACTGGAGTTGCCTAATTAGCTCCACAGTAACGCATCACTATCTATTCAAGTAGTGCTATTAGGCCAGAGTAAATTAATTAACTCTGCCATAAGATAATACCGCCCAACATAAGTACTATTCTATGGCAGAGTTATTTACTCTGCAGCAATGCACGTTTGTTGTGTTGACGGTGGCTGGCCGGGACTAGCTAGTAACACCTTTGTGCCCCAGCCAGGCCTTCCTGAGCACGTTGAGCTGGGCAGGAGCAGCCCTGGGCTGGGAGGCTGGTCCCCTAGGCCCCATGCCAGCTGGGACTGCACTACCCTGGCTCAATGTGCTGTAGTCCCAGGTGCATGTATTAAACACTGTGCCTGGGAGCAATAAACTCCAGCATAAACTATGATGGAGGTTTTTTGCATTGTATTAATATTCACATGTAGATACACCCAGTGTTTAGTACTTTACTCCCCCTTGATTTCAGTGGTATAGACGTACTTACAAAGTGAGAGACGATTCATTGTATGATGACAGAATTTGGTGTTTACTGTAAAGGGAAAGCAGAGCTAGCAGCATGAAGAAAGGAAGAGGAGAGAAAGACCATGGAAGTCATTTATTTAAATGAATGGCCTGAATAGTTACCTTGCCATGATCTTCTGGAGAGCAGGAAGAACTTCTTTGTTAAAGTAAACATCTTGCAACCTTTTTTTCCAACTCAGACTCTTATCCCAGGAAAAGATAGAAGAGTCTCATAGAAGATAGAGACTCATAGAATAGAGGGGTGCAAAAAGAGGGTGAGAACAGTGCCCAGTGGATGCTGGAGGACATAGGACAGGGAAGTAGGATTAAATAGATTGTGTTCTAATCGCATTTGTGCCACTAATATCACAGTGTAACATTGCAAAAGTCACTTAACTTCTCTGTGCCTCAGTTTCCTCCTCTGTAAAATCGGTGTAACAACACCCACCTTTGTAATATGCTTTGAAATCCATGCATGGATAAATTTGCCAGGTATTTTTTATTCACTTATCTACTATATTTTGCATCTCTAATTTCTGTGCTCCTGTGTGTCTTCAGCAGATGGTGTCTCCCATGCCCATTTAATTTCAGCCAAGTCATTCTCCTACCCAAACTCTACAGTGTTAGGGCAAACTGCAGAATCTTAAAATCATGACTTATGATTTAAAATCATAAGTTGCATGACTATGACGTAAAATCATAATGTTACAGATAGCGTTACCTTGATCTAGAGGAAAATTACAGTAGATACAGGTATCACTGTCCCTCCTCACTCTCCAGAATCTGGCTGTTACCACACTGCTGGTAATCCATCTGCCGAAGGTATCAGTTGCTAAACTTTTCAGTGAGTGATTCTAATCAACAATTGGCTATTTTCTCTGTCATAACTTGCCTTATCATATCCTCACTCCTGGAGTTGTGTATTTTTGCCACATTAATCCAGGAGTGTGGATCTTTGGAGGCAAGATCAGTCCATGGTAAGTAACCTGCATTTTCTTTTTTGTGTGTTCATTTGTCTTCTACACTTTCAAAATCTCTATTCATCTTAAGTAAGTTTGCCATATCCTCATAAGCGGCACAGTTGTTATAGATCTGGTTTAAAAACTAAGGTGTGAACTCGGATAGCAGGTAGGGTTTTGCAAATGTTCCTTCACCCTAGCACAGATATATATTAATGGATGAGACTGATGTTCATCAATTTACAGATGATTTGCCGAAGCAGTTAGAAAATTTGATAAGCTATCAAAAGTTGTAATGTTGCTAGGGATGTAGCAGTGCATCTGAGCATCCCCTTGTATCACAAAATTATCACAAGACTACATTATCCAAAAAAACAGCCTGTGCTAATGTTAAAAACTTGGGCCCTCTCTGATTTTAGTCACGCAGCCAAACTCATCTACCAGAGTCCAGATTTTATCTGGCAGAAGAATATATAGGAACTTGCTTTAAGGATAAATGTATTACACACTTGTCTCCAACTCATGTAATACCTCATGACTCTTAAGTCAGAGTGTCAGCAACTCAAAGGCTAGTGCTTTGATTTCATTCCTAAGATTTCTGCTTTCAAGGGAAGTACAAAAATGACAATAGTTAGATCTGAGCCAGAGAGATTTGGCTCAGAGCAAGAACCTCCAACTACTGTGTGCTTCACAATTGAAGTGCAGGAGCGTGCGTTCCTTTTCAACTTAATACACAGAAGTGTTGAATGAAGAACTGACCACTCTTTCACAGTTTACATTAGTAAATTAAACCCTTGTCTTGCTGAATGAGTCCCTAACAAAAGAATAATAAAGTACAGATGCAGACAAAAGTGACAATTTTCAGCCAAGCTGGCTACAGAAAACTGTCTGCAGCTATGACCAGACACAAGTGCACAGCTGCAGACAGCTTAAAAAATGGCTGCTTCGGCAAAAATCTGAACCCTCATTGCATGAGGGGTCAGATGAAGACATTTCAAAACAGAGTATCTTCTGTAACTTGTGTCTGCACTGCCTCCCAGCCTTGAACTTTCAGAATTGGAAGGGAGGGGAAAGGGAGTGGAGGGTGTTTGGTCTGGGGGTTTTCAGCCCGTACAGGAGGGTGGGGTAGGTGTACGGAGCTCTCCTGAGGTGGGGGACTCCAGCTCGCCTACCCTACCCTTCAGCACTTGCTGGGGAACCCCTAGCATGAGCTCTCTCTGCTCCCTTTCCCCCCACCATTCTGGAAACAGGCGAAGCTTGTAGGGAGGAGGGGTCATTGCTAGGGGAACCCGGCTGGGGGGCAGCCAACAGCTAGATCCCCTCTCCCCTGGAACCAGCAGTGAACTTCTGTTTGCTCCAAGGGATTATTATAACTCAAAACACTTCCTGCAGAGTTACAGCGGGAGCTGCACTTCTGCCTGTTCCCTAGGTTCACACAGGAAAAAAGTCTGTTTTCATCCCATTACTGTAGCAAGTTGCAGAATTCAGCCTGATATGTGTGAGGCCACATGAGGATTTAGAGCAGGAGTGGGCAAAATATGGCCCACAGGCTGGATGCATCCCACCAAGGGATTTTATCTGGCCCACACTGGGTCCCTCACAGCCCAGGCACAGGCAGCAGTCTGAGCCATGGCGCAAGCAGCCAGTCCCACTTTCCTGCAGCCCCACTTCCTGCCTATCCTACACCCAGATGACACTCCCCACCTACCCACAGCCCCATCCCATGCGCCCAGTCGAACACACTGTGCCCTTGAGGGTCCTGGGCAGGTCTCCATGGAGACCCCATCTGCCTATGGGACCATTCTGTCTGGCACCCTTGGACCATTTAGGAAGTGGTGGTTTCGGGGGGGAGAGGTGATGACCCAGTCTGCAACAGCTCACCAAAACTCCCTAAGTGGCCCTTCGGTTCAAATGATTGCCCAACCCCTGGTTTAGAGCTTCAGTCTATGAGCAAAAAAGAGTCACTTCTTCAATACTCTGAGCATTTAATTATTGATATTTGCCATTTAAGAGCACTAAGTGCCACTTCTATCCATCTAGCCATCCAAGGGCTAGTCATCCTTCTGGCAAGTGCGCAGGAATAATGGGAGGAGGAGGAAAGGACTTTTTGAAGTATAAATCTTTGTGAACATCAGTCTGCTGCCCTGCCTTTTGGTGGCTTACTGAGTTTATTTACAGTGTTTGGTGAGGTGGGAAGAAAGAGATTTCACTACAAGGAACAAAAGATGCACCTTCTAAAAATGTTAACCAGTCCCTGTTCTCAAGCCTACAAATCATCCACTTTCCTTTTCTTTTTCCTTCTCTTTGGTTTGCTTCTCATGCAAACCAAGCTACTTGTTGAGTCTGTAGGTACTATAGGAAATATGCCCACATGAAGCAACAGTGTATGAGCACTGAGGGAATTAAAGTGTTTCAAAAGTAAAACAAAGTCCTTAAATGAAAGTACCTTGGACCCCAATGTCAACATTGAATGCTTAAAGGCTGAAGGTCTACCAAGTTTTTAGGCTGCTTAGCCATCTTTGTGTTCTGTTTTCCCCACCCCTAAAGCAACAATCCTGCCCATAAATACTACCTGGCTGTGGATCCTGTTTCGGGTTTGCTGTATGTATCAGACACCAACAGCCGACGGATCTACCGTATCAAATCCCTGACTGGTGCAAAGGACCTGGCTGCTAATTCTGAAGTGGTAGCAGGGACTGGAGAGCAGTGTCTGCCTTTTGATGAAGCGAGATGCGGAGATGGAGGGAAGGCAGTGGACGCAACCCTAATGAGCCCTCGAGGTAAAGAAAGTAAAACCAGCTGGAGAAAGTGACTGTGTGAAGCTAGGCTGGATCTGGATATAATTATCTGGCAATTAAATCACTACTTGCTCGGTTATTTTCATTCTGCACTTTAATCACAGTGGATTGGTGAGTGCTCATGCTTTGTTTAGTTAAACAAACTTTATTACCTCGGCACCGTGTGCTGCAGACGAAGAACAGAACATGATTTAGCTGCATACTGCTCCCGCGAAAGTAAACACACAAAATGGAAAACAAACAATTTGTTTGAAACACAATATTTTAAAATGTCCTGAGTAAAATGTGCCCCTGCTCAATCAGTTTTCATTCTATAGATGTGCATAAAGCTTTAAATGTGTGAAATCCCTCACGTAGTCTTCTAGAAAAGCAGGCTAAACAACAGGTGAATGTCTGATGTAAAATTCAGGGAACGGTATTTTTCTTTAAAAAAAAAAAAATTCTGGCTTTAAACATACAAAGGCTGAAACAAGCGTAGGTCAAAATAATAATGCGTTATTAAAGCTACATGTTTAAAAAACACTGTCGTTATTTAGTTTTTCAATAGAATTTTACCAGTTTATAGTAGGCAAGGATCTGAAGTCCAGAATTAGGGACCAAGAGTCTGAAAAAAGAAAGTAAATGAAGAAAAATACCTTCTAAACTTATCAGTAAAGTGCAAGACCAGAGCATTCATCATTGCTTATTTCACCCACCTGCAGGAATTGCTGTGGATAAATATGGACTCATGTATTTTGTTGATGCCACTATGATTCGGAAAGTTGATCAGAATGGAATTATATCAACTCTACTGGGTTCCAACGACCTAACTGCTGTTCGACCCCTAAGCTGTGATTCTAGCATGGATGTCACCCAGGTAGAGTTTCTCTTGCTCTTCATTTATATGCCTGGCATTTTATTTTAGCTATTAATTTTGGATAACTGCCTAGCCATTCTCCTTAGGAAACATGGTATGTTAGAATTCTGAGCAAAAACATTTACTGGGTATTGGTGATATTATGCAATTCAGGATGACAGCTAGTGTAACGAGTTACTGAAAAAAATGAACCCATCTTCTTGCAATGGTTAACATGAGTTATTTACACAGGAAAATAAGGTTGAGATAATAGAAATTATTGTGTTAATTGTATTTTGCTGTAATTATTGTGGAGTTTTGGCGATATAGTATTCTTTCTTTGCAACAGATACATAAGTAACAAAAGTTCTCATTACACATAGCTTTAATTTTTACAGGAAGAAAATTCATCATGTGAAGTAGCAGAAGCAGCACTTAGTTCTGTGATTTACAAAGCTAAACCAATGACTAATTTGCTGATGTTTCACATACAATATGTATGCATTAAAAAAGATTTAATTCTGTGTATGTTTTACAGTGATAACAAACTATTGTGTGGTTTTTAGGTACGGCTAGAATGGCCAACTGATCTTGCTGTCAATCCAATGGACAACTCACTTTATGTCCTGGAAAACAATGTTATTTTACGGATCACAGAGAATCATCAGGTTAGCATTATTGCTGGACGTCCCATGCATTGCCAAGTCCCTGGTATAGACTACTCCCTCAGCAAACTGGCCATTCACTCTGCCCTGGAGTCAGCCAGTGCAATTGCCATCTCACATACTGGAATCCTTTATATCAGTGAGACAGATGAGAAAAAAATTAACCGCCTACGGCAGGTGACCACCAATGGAGAGATCTGCCTCCTTGCAGGGGCAGCTTCAGACTGTGACTGCAAAAATGATGTGAACTGTAACTGCTATTCTGGGGATGATGGTTATGCAACTGATGCCATCTTAAATTCACCATCCTCCTTAGCTGTTGCACCCGATGGAACAATCTACATAGCTGACCTTGGAAATATCCGTATTAGGGCTGTTAGTAAAAACAGACCTATTCTTAACTCTTTCAACCAGTATGAGGCTGCATCTCCAGGAGAACAGGAGCTATATGTCTTCAATGCTGATGGAATCCACCAGTACACACTTAGCCTAGTTACTGGCGAGTATCTGTATAATTTCACTTACAGTAGTGATAACGATGTCACAGAAATAATTGATAATAATGGCAACTCCTTGAAGATTCGTCGGGATAATAATGGAACACCGCGACATTTACTGATGCCTGACAATCAGATTGTCACGCTAGCTGTTGGTGCTAATGGTGGACTCAAGGTAGTGTCAACCCAGACTCTGGAACTTGGATTAATGACATACAATGGCAATAGTGGTCTCTTGGCAACAAAGAGTGATGAAACGGGATGGACAACCTTTTATGAGTAAGAATTTTTTTATAAATATATTAGGCATGCATTCTCTTTCAAATGATGGTGACTGGGCTCAAATGCAATGCGCATTGAAATCAGTTGTAGTGTTTACACTGTATTCAATGAATATAGTATCAGGTTTTTAAATTTCAGTGCAGTAGGGCACTGGAACCTGAGAAGTAGTTTTCTTGACTTCACCAGTTTTGTGGTGTCCTTCCATAAGGTCCTGACGCTGATGCTTCCTGTATGGTAGTGAGCACCCTAAACATACGCTGGGTGCATTTACACATGCAGTAGCACAGCTGAATAACTCTGGTACAGTTTGCACTGGAGCCTATTGCTCCTGGGCATAGCATTTACACATGTGCCCAGGACCACAACACATTGATCCAGGAGGGTCAGCCTGCTAGCCTGGAGCTGCTCTGCCCTAGCTCAGTGTGCTGCGGAGGGACTGGCTGGGTCACAAGAGTTCTCCAGTGAGGGCTAGCCAGCAGGTAGCTCTGCATTGTAGCACCCTCATGCACCAGCCAGCCCCAGTCACTGTCTATATATGTACTGTGACACACAGTACATATATAGACAGTGTGGTATTTTTTTTTGGCAGTAGTATCCTATGGCAAAGTTAATTAGTTTACTCTAGGCTAATAGCACCAGGCTTGTAGATAGTAACGCTTGAGTGTGGAGATAATTGGTCAACTCCACATTAAGCGCACATGTAGATGCCACCACTGTAGTGTGAAGTTGGGAAGGAGGCTCACTCACCTCACAGAAGTGTTGCCCAGGGCCTTGCAGGATTGTGGTCTTTTTTCGTAGGAAAATCAACAACTTGTATGTGAATGCAGTTTGCAGGATGTGGTTTCAATTTGTGCCTGGTGGCCACCATCTACATGAGTATTTAATCACAGTTAATTACTGTTAGGGACAGTACTATCCTAGAGTGGAGTTAAGTAATGTACTGTACCCAAGTACCAGTGCATGTGTGGATGGTGACACTTTACTGCAGACCTAGTCAACTCTACAGTAAATCGCTTGTGTATGTGCACCCAGTACTCTGTAACTAAACCCCACTTGGTTGCATCTCTAGAGATTTAATTTTTAACATCTTTTTAAAACTTAAATTATAAATCTTGATGTTCAAATGTCAGATTATAAAATTTATATTTCTTGTGATGGATGAAACATTAACTTTAATGATTTTTCATTCCTGAGATAGGTTACAAAATTAGATCCTAAGGTATCCTTAAGAATCCAGTATGACTTGTATAATTTCTAGATAGCCCAAAAGTACACTGGTTTTCATGAGCACATAGATTAAAAAAACAGAATATCCTCTTTAGCTGTAACAGATTAAAAATAAAGTGCGAAAGTATATGAAGAAGCTGAAAAAGCAAACCAGATATTTTCTAACAATTATGCTGTCTTTAATAGTTGTATTGGAATGTATTTAGCAATAACAGAGTTTCTTTAATAAGTGGTACTATATATATGTATCTAATAGGCTAGATACATACATACACATATATATACACATACACACACACACACACATACATATCTATAGCTATACATAGATATAGATATGTATGTATGTGTGTGTGTATATGTGTATATATATATGAATGTATGTATGTAAAATTATACACACACACACATGCTGGTTTTTAACTATGACAAGGCTGCGATTAAAATAAAGTATGGTAATAATGAGTATTTTGCTTGAAATACTTGATTAGCAATCCATTCCTTTGGAAATGTTTTCCAAATTAGTACTTACAAAGCTTTGATCAAGTTTTATAATCCACCTAAAATTGCTGAGCATAGGTTTTATTTTAAGATTGTCGTATAAACAGCTAATAATAGTTGTTTTGATCCACAAACATATGTGCTAGTGTGTTGTAACATGGCTTTCTACTTAAACACTGTTGATTTTTTTTTTCAGTGCATGAACAAAAGTAACTTAGGTTGGTCCAGCTGATAACTAACTTAGTGCACATCAGCATTTACTGTTTTATGATTTGTTTATAAGAAAAGGAAGGTACTGCCATCTTGTGGTCACTGTTTAATTTCATCACCATAACTGAACAAATGTATTCACTTTTATCTATCATTCTGATGAAACTGCAGACTTATTCTCCTTACTACATAACAGCCTTTTAAAATACATTTTAGTTATTTAATAAATTCCATTTTAGAGGCATAAGAGGGTCCCAGCTATTGATCACTACATCAAACTGTATGGGGCGTTTGTGAAACACTCCTGATGATGGGTAGATGTACATTTTAGATAGGTCTCTACATAGATATTATTGTTGATCAACACACACACATTCCCTAGATCACAAGCAGGGTCAACTCATTTTTTCCTAGAAGCTACCATTCTTACATCAAATATCACAAATTTTATAATAGATGAACGCAAACTGGTTGCAAGTCCCCATTATTAAACGAGTAAAATCACAATATATAAATAATCAAACTAAATTAAACACTTATAAAATATTCTTCTAAGTCTATTGATGATTAAAATAATGTTTAAATTATTACAAAATTATTATGTTACATATAGGGAATGAAAATACAGCATGCATGTTTTTAATACTCTATGGATGTGCATGTGTAGATGTTATTTATTATTACTTTTGCAGTGCCCTAAAGCTTCCCAACTGTTTTCCAGAATAAATAAGGAAAAAAAAGATCTCTTCTCTGTATTAGGGGGATTATTCATAGTAGTAGGCACCATGCCTAGCACTAAGTAGTACAGGGTTAGGCACTGGATTTGTTAATTAGTATGTTTGATAAAAGATAGGTGGTATCTAATTATCACTTCTGCTGTGGAAATAAGTATTGCATCTGGACTCTCTAAGTACTCTGTATAGGAGAACATAGCCAGCATGTGATAAAGGCTATGTTTTCTGTTAATCCATAATTTCACTTTCACATATATATCCATTAGAGCACCCTGATCATGTTCTGCACCTGCATAGCCTGGGTTTCATTCATGTAATTAAAAAACAGAACCATATTATCAGCTCTGTCTAGGTTACAGAAATCAGTGCTGTGCCATTCACAGAGCTGTCTGTATTTCAGAGACATTTTTTGTTACAAGACCATGTGTCATGCCAAGCATACAGAAAACACTTTGTCAAGGGTGGAACTTAAACTACCACATAAATTGTAGATATTTGTTAGGGGAAAAAGTGAGATAGGAAAAAATGAAGGCATTTTGTTGGTGATGATCCTAAGTAACTTTCACTGACTCTTTAGCAGCTTTAGTCCACCTCTTATGGATTGAAAATGTTGTTAATGAGATGGTAATTTATCTTTAAATAAAGTGCAGGGTTCTTATCAACATTAGTTACTGTATTGCTTTCCATATTCATTGTGTAAAGCAATTCCAGGAAGATAATACTATCTCTATTATTATCGTATTAATTTTGGTAAACTAAAGATGGAAACATCTACTTGACTATCAAGTATGTCCTTCATAAAGGTGACATTGGTTGCTTCAAAGACCACCACATTCTCACATTCAAATACAGATAATCAGCACCTGTTGTCATAATCACAATACAACAACATCTTTGCAAGAATGACAAAACTCTTCTTAAAAGTAATATAACAAAATGAGAATTAAAATTTAGGAATAAATGGTATATCCGTACCAACTACCTTATTGAAATACAGTGCTACCTTATCTCCCAAGTACTTCATGGAATCAAATAAAAATATAACATGCACTTCATTTTATGCTATGAGCAGCCAGGGCTTATAAATAATGTAACAGCTAACAGCATGCTCACATAGGAGAATTTAAGATTGTTTTGGGGCATGAAGAACAGATCTTTGAAGTGGTCCCCAATGATACTCCACTTGGCCTTCAGAACGCCCTAAGAGAGTACTGCAGTTTTCTCCTTGAATCAGATTTGTTTTCATAAGGCATAAGGATATATTTAAATGTACGTGGCCCTTCTCCATATAAGGTCAACATTTGCTGTTACCCATTACCATATATGAAAGCGACCTAGCAAAATCCCTCTAAAGCTGTCAAGCAGTTATGTATTTCAAAAGTCTAACAGTCAAAATGCAGGCACTCAAAGACTGAGAAATGATTCTGTGGTTATACTTAGTGCCTTAAATCTTTAGAAAGATCCTGTACATACCAGCTGAAACCACTTCATCCTTTCACAAATAAAAGGTCATCTTCAGTCCCATGTCTTATCTTACAGGTCATCTTCAGTCTTACGACATGGCCCATGAAAGATGGCTGCCTCTCCCACTGCTGTGCCCAGGGGTCCACATGCCACCTGCACAGCCTACGCTGCAGTGGCGGGGGGGGGCACGGCTATATGCTGCTGGCAGAGGCTGAACAGCCGCGAGGGAGGGGCAGGGGAGCCCATGCTGCTGGTGCAGCCCAGTGGCAGGGTGCTACATGCCACTAGTACAGCCTGTATAATAGGGGATATCCCAGGGGGGCTCCGCAAAGAGTGTCATCCAAGCCGTGTACAGACCAGGGTCTACATGCCAGCACTGCCTTCAGCCCCTGTCCACACTGAAGTTGGACAATCCTGTCTTAGAGTAATACTAACAGCCCTGGATCAGGGCATTTCCTGGAGTTGAATGCCTATCATCTGACAATTAGGTACCAAATTCTCTATTACAGTTACTACTTTACAAATTTATTTATGTCTTGCTGCCCATCTCCAAGAAATATTTTAGCCTATCTATAGGCCCCCAGTATTTTCTAGTGTGGACATATTCCTCAGCTGCCCATTGCTGAATCACTGATGCCTCTATTTCCAGAGACAGCTTCTGACCTCATCTCTTTCCCATTCACTTTTTTACCTACCTTCCCTCTTAACCAACATGTTGTGCAATTTTGGATGGAAGTTTGGCCTCAGTGAGGTCAACAGAAAAAAATCCATTATCTTCAAGTAATCTAGGATTTCACCCTGTACTTCATTTTAGGAAGACTGGAATTGTCTTACCAACTCAGAATAGATGTCCATCTAGTC